ACTACTTATTCTTTACACAATACAGGTCACACCACGAAAAACTTGTGATTGTGGATTACCAGATTTGCTTCATAGGAGGACTAGATTTGTGCTTTGGCCGTTTTGACACAAGTGAACACAAAGTTGGTGACTGCCCTCCGCTTATATGGCCAGGAAAGGACTATTACAACCCAAGGTACGTGCCGATTTCAGATTTCATTAACTTAACCATGTTTTCTCGTCAATAGTATGCATTGAAATGTTTCTTTTCTGGTGATTATGGTGCTAGAGAATCAGAACCGAATTCTTGGGAAGACACAATGAAAGATGAACTTGAACGCGAAAAGTATCCACGTATGCCATGGCACGATGTCCATTGTGCTCTCTGGGGCCCACCGTGCCGTGACATTGCGAGGCACTTTGTTCAGCGCTGGAACCTTGCCAAGGTCGATCTTGTGAAATCACTTTCTTTTAAGTTCTTCTCTTAAGCATTTAAAAAGAAGAGAGTAGTTTAACTTATTGAGTTTCTTTGTTTTCTTTCCTTTAGAGAAACAAGGCTCCAAATGAACAAACTATTCCGCTGCTCATGCCTCACCACCACATGGTCATCCCTCATTACATGGGAAGAAGTAAAGAGATAGTTGTTGAGAACAAGAAAACAGAAGAAAATCCAAATGACATCAACAGACAGAACTCTTTTTCCTCATTTTCACCATACGAAGACAATATCCCGTTGCTTCTGCCGCAAGAATCCGATAGTTTGGTGGATCCTCATTCAGAACCAATGCCAAATGGTCTGCATGATAACAACCAGAGTCTTATTGATGAGCCAATTGGGATGTGTAGAGATTGTTCTTCTGTCTCTATCCAGAATCAAGAAGATGAAGCTTCAGTTCCAGAGATGAAAGGTTTTGTTGACGAGATTTACATGACAGACATCCAAAGCGACACAAATTTAAGCACGGAGGCACGCTCTGAAACGGCAAATTCAGATGAGTGGTGGGAGAATCTAGAGGAAAAAATTCAGATTAATGCTTCTACTGATAATGACTGTGGTGGACAAGTGGGTCCACGAATCGCGTGCCGTTGTCAGGTTAGTATATGAAGCCTGTGATTCTGTCATTTTCTTGCTCAGAAGAGTTGATTAAGCATTTGTTTCCATGCTTTTTTTCAACATGAGTTTATTATGTGCAGATTATTAGAAGTGTAAGCCAGTGGTCTGCTGGAGCAAGTCAAACTGAGGAAAGCATTCACAAGGCTTATTGTTCTCTCATTGAGGCAGCTGAACATTTTGTTTACATTGAGGTAAAAAGCATCTAGTTTTTGTTACTTTTACTTTTTAGTCAATAAATCCTAAAGAAAAAGAAAATAAAGGGGTATTTGCTTAAATGGCTAAAATTAGATTCTTTTTAAGAAAATGTCTACTGACATTCATTGATCACAGTTTAATACATTGCTGATAGTTTTCTTAGTTGATAAAACATGAGTATTTCAGTTCAAGTACTGATCATTTTACTATACGTAATTGCTTGCAGAATCAATTCTTCATATCAGGTCTGTCACAGGATGAGATTATACAAAATCGCGTCCTGGAAGCACTGTACAGGCGTATCCTACGAGCACACAAAGAACAGAAGTGCTTTAGAGTCATTGTGGTCATACCACTCTTGCCTGGCTTTCAGGTATTTGATCTTGAGTTTATTCCCTAATGAATAAATCTGCATTTTTAAGTCAGTCACACGTATTTTCATTACCAAAAAAAAAAAAA